TCAGGAATGTTGAGTTCATAAATTCCATGTCGAGCTTGTTGATTTTTATACAGTAGTACAAACCGGTGTCACGTAGCTGGGTTTCATGAAGATGCAGAATAAAAGCTCCAGGCTCTTGTTTTGTTGTTATGTGAGGAGTCTTATTAACACCCTCATATTCAAAAGTATATGTTCCTCCCAAGAATTCAGGCTGTTTTCCAGAAACAAGTCTGATCCAGTACAAGGTTTCCTGATACGCAGATGATGCCTGACGAGTGCATGTAAGAGTCACATCTTGTCCGACACCAACAGTCTTTGTGACAAAGTTATGATCATGGGTGCAGCCTGAAAAACAAACAAACCAAAAAATTACTCAATAGCAACAACAGACACAATCATATATATAAAATCATGTATAATTAACAGAGACTGATTTGTATTTTCCATACACTAGATTAAAGAACAAGGCAATATTTATCCTGTAGTACTTAATACATCAGCAGTAAGTGTGACCTCTCTGAATATACTTACGCCCCACTCTGAGCATCAGCAGGAAATAAAACAGGAGCAGCATTTTATGATGAATCCACTGGTGACTGCATGTAAATTGAAGCGCACGATGAGATGACCTGCTTTAATGTAATCACATGGAGTGGGAGGGAACAGTTTTAGAGCGATCTGATTGGCTTCTCATCATGTTGGTGTTTCACTGTTTTACCACAGTGGAAATAATATCAAGCATCTGTCCAACCGAAACACATGAAACAACACCAACAGCAAGCTTTTGTTTTGTGTTTTTATAACTCATGCAGAATAAACACAAATAAACTAANTATTTCTGATTTTGAACAAGAATTTTGCCAATTTTACAAAAATCTACTTTTTGAGGAGTTTGGCTTCATTTGTCTGATGTCGCTTAAAAAGGAATTTGTAGAAAACAATACTTTGGTTTGAAATGATACCCAGCCCTATTTGGCCTCTGTGTATATCTGCATACTGACCAGTCCACAAGTTTGTCGCCAATGAAAAAATATTTCGCAAAATTAAAATAGAAAAATGTCAACAAATTTGTTGATTAGAAGCATAACAACAGCAGCAGCGGGGGGAAAGTAATTTTCTTGTCTGTTTGATGAATTTAATATATTCTGTGTCATATTTACTAGTTTTAAAAACTGCTCCATGTCCTGGAGCGAGCTAGCTGCTTCTATGTTCCTGTTACTATCAAAGGTAAGACTCTTTAGGGGCTGCAGCAACCTAAAAGAAACCAGATTGTGTCGTATAGTGCAGCTACACCTTTGGTTGATGCAGTAACCAGCTGGGAGTCCTTGTATGGCCTCGACATGAAGCCAGCCTCATTTTTTCAAACAATTTTTGTCATTTCACTTAAAGGATGAGAGAACAATGGGTAAAATGGAAGAGTTGCACAGAAACTACAGGGAATAGAAAAAATGATGCTGTGAAGCGTTGATATTAAGTGTGATGTACTTTTCTGTTCATGATGCTCGTATTTAGAGTTTATTAAATGGCAGTTGCTGGGCTACCGTTTACACCCCCAGTGTTGGAAACTTGTGACAAAATGTGAGTTTTTCTAAAATAAGGAGATTTATGTTTCACGATGACAAATGTGTTGTTTTCTTTTGTCAATAAAGTTTCTGGATCATTGTAGGTGCTCTTCATTCAAGTGTAAAAACAAATGTTTATGGGCCTATCTGATGTGTGCTCCAAGAATGACTGAAAGAATCCACAAATGAAGCTTCCTCTACATACATACAGCCTTTTGTGTTTTCCATTTAGCTGTATAGCCTTTTTGCTACTAGTCCGATGGTGAGTCTTGACAACTTCAGCATCTGAATTGGTTGAACGTCACATCAAGAACGTGTCAGCAAAAAAAAACAATGAACCAAAGCAAAACTTAAATTGTGTTCAAGCAAATGAAACAAATCCTAAACATGTTGAACCAAAGACTTTTCCATTGTGGTTATGTGACACCACAGAATATTTATTAATGATGAGTTAAAAACACATCAGAAAAAGTGCACAAAGAACAGGAAGGAGTGCACATTTTGAAGACAGGAAAAATCGTCTTGAAGATATCCATCTGAAAGTAGCACTTGGAAACAAAGCCAATCAGAAAACAAGTGTCACTTTCAGTCTGTTTGTGGAGGAGCGATGACATTGGGGAAAAATACATTCAGCTCACGGACAAACAAAAGACGCTCCTGTTAAGAAGTGCAGGTTTTGATGTTGGAGATGTATGTGATGGTAGTAATTGAACTTAAAGCAATATTAAATGAGCTTTGTTATAAAGCTGCAGTTTACAGCGTATAAACAAATGGAGATGCTGCAAATATGTATCTCAGTGCAGTCAGTAAAGAAGACTTTAAGTTAAATGAATGGATGTCTTGATTTTGATAATTATAGCATATGTGTACATTTACACTTTGTTGTTTTTTCATTATTTATCAGCCTAAGTGACTCAACTGCCAGTGTCAGTAACTCAACTAGGTGCTCTTATTACTTTTACTAAAAACAAAACAGGACTGTAACAAAGTAAACAAGAAAGTAAAGTGGAATTGGACTGGTTGTAAGAAGGGGGCAAAAGCAGTTGGTTGTCCTGTGCATCTGTTAAAGTCAGCCAGGTTGTTTTCAAGTTTGGGCAGGAGCTGCACTAAACCTTGTATAAAATGATGTTGTAAAAGTATTTTCTGTCAGTTCAAGACAAACCAGAATATGCCCATGTTTGGTTCTGAAATAGCTGACTAAGGTTTAAAGTGCCAGCAAAGGAAACCCAAACCTTTTTCAGCAGTGTGATGCCAATTTGTGTGAATGATGTTATATGAAACATAACTTCATATCTGTGTATGCAATTGCCCACAAACCTGGCTTGTTATCTCTGTGTTTACAGTCACTGAGGGTGCACTGATAATGTGCTGATTCAGTGGCTACACACACACACACATACAGTACATACCCTGCCTCGACACTGTACACATCTATATCGTGCCAACAACCTGTGCATCATCTCATGTAGGACTCAAAGAGAAGGCTGTTGTCGTCACGTCTCGTAGCGAAGAAGCCGCTGCCCCAGTGGAGACCGTGGAGGCTGAACCAGAACCAGAAGGTAGGTGCACACTTTGTCTGCATAAACGTACTGCTAATAGGTAATGAGGCAAGAAGAAACACAGCTGCTGTGAAGTGACCGAGGGTTATAGTGTCACTACTTTTGCTGTAGGTCGTATTGTTATCAGAAACAGTACAACAGTCTGTGGTGAAAGTTTTAAAGCGCTGTGTGCACTTTGAACACATCTCAGTAAGAGAAATAGAACTGAAGTGCTCTTAAAATTAAATTTATTTTGCTAGCCATCTGAAGAACTTCATAAAGCGTGTATCTTTTAAAACTAAAACTAAGCATGGTTGAATAATAGTATAACTATTTGATCTATTTTTGTCTATTCCTCACAGTAGCTTACTATGTTTAAAAGTATAAAGAGTGAAGTATAAAAGAAATGATAAAAAATGAAACTGAATAAATATAATTAACTGAATATACTGAAAAAAACTTGAATCTGAAAGTTGGAATTAAGTCCCACTATATAGAACAATAATAATATTTTGTGAGCCCTTAACTGTCTCATAGTGTTTTGATTGATCATTAATATGTGTTATTGTAATTTTTGGGGAATTTTGAGTTCCTGGCTTTGAGAAATTGATGAAATAAGTGTCAGAATTTGAGCTTAAACAAGACGATGATTTATGTGGGATGAGGACAGTTTAACCAAGGGTCTTAAGAGAATAAAAATGAATCCACGCTAAGTTGGCAAAACTTGACCATAGAGAACCAGGACACCAGAAGGTAGAAAGTCAAACCTTTCTGTCCTAGAACAGCTGTATCCTAGGGGCACGTTTGTCATACATGCCTGCTTTTGAGGCATTTTTACTGTCATTGCAGGAAAACTGCATTTAAAATGTGGCGTCGCATCTGGTGTCAGCGAGAGTAGACATTATTTGTATGAAGACGGGTCGACTGTCATTTATGTGAATATGCACGAATCTATCAAAAGCAGATTGTGAGGCAGGTGTGGAGCTGAGTTTTTGTTTAGTGTTTAAATCATTCATTCAGAGTTTGATCCATGTTAGGCCTGTTTCTGGGGTTGTGAAAAAAGATTGTCTGACAAATAGATTCCTAATACAGGTTTAACCTGTATCACTTTATAGATGTGTATCGGGTTGATCACACTGCTGACTCATGAAGCTGTATTTAAAGTGGAATGTAATCAGTTAGACCTGTATTGATAAGTCTCAATGCCTACTTTCATAAAAGCAGTGCAGGTAAGTACGTAGTCAAGATTTAGTGAAATAAAAGTCTTTTTAATTTTAGAACTGAAGTCGCTTTGTTTTTGTTTGACATCATGCCCTTCTGTCCTTAGCTATTGTTGAACCCGACCCTGTCCCAGTGGAAGATGTTGTTGAAGCTGTTGTGGCAGAGGAAACAACTGCACCACCTCCAGGTACATCACTGTGTATATTTGTGAATGTCTCGGTGACTACTTTTTGTTATAAAGGAATGTTTTGTTGAATGTGAAAATCTACAGTCAGTCACATGATGCATGTTCTAAGCCTGAATAGCTGAAGAAGGTGTGTCTGTACTTCATAAAAATCAGTACGACTCATTGCTTCTTCCCTCTAGAGCCTGAACCTGAGGTAGAAGATGAGCCTGAGGTGGTCGCATCTGAGCCTGAACCAGAACCAGAACCTGAGGCTGAACCAGAACCAGAGCCTGTGGAGACAACTGAGGTTGGTACCGACCTGGTTATTGGTTATAAGACCATCTGAGAACTGTGTCCAATTGCAGAATCACGTTTTTCTTCATCCTTTTCAACTTCCCTGCTTAAAGTTGAAAAATTCTAATTTATGCAAGAAGCTTAATCTTTAGTTCATTTTCGGAGCCACATAAAGGTGCAGTTTGCAGGATTTTGAACACAAGTATAGCATTAATATAGCAGCAAAAAACATCCAGAGCAGAGCATAAATTCACTCTTTCTTTGTGTGTTCTCATGGGAGCTTCTCTGTTTCATGTTTTTATCATGCATGCATGTTTGTTTTTTGTTCTAATGCAGTCCCTACCTTTGAAACCGTATTTTTCTGCTGCTTCTCGTGCACACGTTTTGTCTGGTTGTACAGTAAATGCGAGAGGTTCACCTGTTCATTTGGATTCTTGCATACAGCACCTTTTAAACTCGAGCGAACTCAAATGTAAACCTGCTAATGTTGGTGGTGGTTTTCTTTTCAGGTGTTTGAGGAGGATCCAGAGGTGCTGGAGGAGGAGCCTCTTGCTGTAGAGGAGGATGCACCCGTTGAGGAGGTATGTGGCTTTTGTTTGTGCATTGCAACATTTCATACTTGACTTATGACACGAGCAGAAAGAAATTTCTTTGTCTTACTGTGTCGTAAAATATATTTATTAGCTGCACTTAGACACCTCCCTTATTTTTTTCCCCCCCTTTAAGTGTGAAGCTCCATTTGAACTGTTCTACTAATACTAATCTGTGTCACACATAGGGAAGGACAGTAGTAGCAGCAGGAATTTAGACCTGCACACTGTTAATACTGCTCCTCACAGCCTAAAAAAAACGCTGCTACAATTTTAAAATGTAAATCTTCTGCCTCCTGCTGGCAATCAGTGTTTCACCCACTCTTTTCTACTTTGTATTAGCTTGTGTCTGTGTAGATTTTCAGTTGTCCTGGTCTTGGTAATCCTCTGAGCTTTTGTAAAAAGCAACTGGACTTCTTTTTGTATGAGCTTCAGTTTGTTTTGTTTCTAAGGATTTGTGCTTGTACCATTTATTGCGGTATAAATAGGTGCAGGCATAAAGGAAGAACTCACCCACACTGTCTTGTATAGTTTGACCTCATAATGAACCTATTGTTGCAAATTCACAATTAAATTGTGCCTTCCTTTGTTGCACGTACTTTTGCAGACAACATGTGTAAGTTATTCATTTCAATCATTAATTTATAGAACATCAGAATGTTTTAGTTTCTGAAAAAAATGAAGCATCTGGGAATTTTAAAAAAATAATAATAAAATGAATACTATACAGATAATCATTCAGCAACAGTTTCAGCAAGTAAATTTGTTATTATTGCTCTTCTTATTGTTGTTGTCATTATTTTTTATGTACCACTTAGTATAGTTTCCACTGATTTTACGATAATTAAATTGAACATTTACATATAAAACAAGCACCTAAAGAAGTACACAACGCCAAATGTAATGAAGGAAGACCAACAAAAGGAGGGAAAGAAAAAAGAGTCAATAAACATTTAGCTGACATCAACAACTGCTGTTACTAATTTCAACTAATTAACAATTTTGCACGATTAGGACGCTCCAGCTGAGGAAGAACCAGCAGCTGAGGAGACTGCAGTAGAGGAGGCAGTGGAGGAACCTGCTGCTGAGGAGGAGGCCGCTGCAGAGGAGGTGGCTGAGGCTGCAGAGGAGGAGAGCGCTCCTTCAGAAGAAGCTGTCGAAGAGCCAGCTGAACAAGAGGAGGCTGCTCCTGCAGAGGAAGCTGCTGAGGAGGAACCTGAAGAGGAGGCAGAAACTTATGACGAAGCCGTTGAGGATGTAGCAGCAGCAGCAGCAGAGGAGGAGGAGGAGGCAGTTGCTGCAGAGGAACCTGTGGAGGAGGCTGCTGAAGAGGAGACGGTTCCAGAAGAAGCTGTTGAAGACGTAGCGGACGAAGAGGAGGAGTTGGCACCTGCAGACGAACCTGCTGAGGAACCCGCTGAGGAACTTTCCGATGAACCCGCTGAGGAACCCGCTGAGGAACTCGCTGAGGAACCCGCTGAGGAACCCGCTGAAGAAGAGGAGGCAGCTCCTTCAGAAGAACCGGTTGAGGAGCAGGCAGAAGAGGAGGCTGCAGAGGAAGCTCCTGAAGAAGAAGTAATGGAGGAGCAGACAGTACCAGGTAGGAAGAAAGGAGATACAAGTAAAAGGATGAGGTAGACCAGTGGGATTTAGTGTTGTTAAGATACTCAGTTTTTGACTTGGATCCTCACTTTTAGCCTTAAACAATAGTTTTGCAGATTTGCTTTTTCACAGAGAGTTCGGGTAAGTGTTTCCATTTACTGTTCTTCAGAGGCAGAAAAATGCTGACAGGCAGCAGGGGAGCGCTTCATTACAAAACAGAGTGCCCCATGATACATGGGTTTGGTTTCAAGTGTGACGAGTCCTCCGCATATAACTGGTTACCAGAACAGGAGTGTTTGTAACAGCAACACTTTCTAAAGAGATTTTTAAATAGAAGCGTGCAGAGTGGCTGCAGAAAAACCGCACAGGGATGCTGAGAGCAGCGCTTCTTTTCAAAGTGGATGCATACGATTCTGCTGCGGAGAAAATAAATGCTGGATGGACACACAGCTCAATAAATGTCATAATAATAATAATAATTAAATAACTACATTTTGTAAAGTCCTGTGATTCCTTTTTTTCACAAGTTTATGATTAGACTTGGTCACTCTGCTGACAGTTTGTGTCCAGTGGATGAAGAACACTTTTATCAGTCAGTCGTAACTCATAACTGAACTATCAGCACTGATTAAAGTTCAGGAGGCTCATTTGACCTCAGTGAAAACTTAGTGTGCTATTAGTCCAGTAACACAGATTAGAGAGGACTTTATTGTGGTTTCCTTGCTCTTGAGTACGTTTGCTGAGGTGTTACCTAAACTGTACGTACACTGAACATCTGGAGTGCTTGAGCTGATAACGATGATGTTTTGGTGTCTTTACATATTAAAATAATCTGATAATTGTTTCTGTTTTTAGAAGATTACAGTTTTTCATGATTTGAAATGTTTTTATTTTTTCCACAGTCACAGAGACAGAAGAAGAAGAAGCAGCACAAGAAGTAGAGGAGGCAGCAGAAGAAGGTGATAAACACACTCTTGACTTCTACTAAAATGAACCATGTTTCAGTGTAGATACATGTCCTGTATATTCAGACGCTTTGTGAAGGATTTTTCATGTTTTTTGTTCTTACCTTTGCCTGTGTTTTCCTTTTTGCAGCAGCAGAGTTTGTTGAGACAGAGGAACAGATTCAGGATGAGCCCACAGGTAAACACTGCTTCTAATAAACCTCGAGAATCAGTCCTGTCGACTTGCAGTGTACGGCTTTCTCTATAATTATTCTTCATCAGAATCGGTTTCAGGTTTGAACATGTTTGGCTGAATTACTCCAATATTGAAACTTGCCAGTGTGGAGCGTAGAATAGCTTTGGTGTTTGAACAGAGTCACAGGCTGGGACTTCATAGATCTGCACATGGTCGAGTCAACAACAGCACAGAGTTGCATTTAAGCCATTTTAAGGAATTAAGAAATTATTTTCAGAAAGAAAACACATCAAAATATGTAACTTTGATACACAGAGATGAGTTTTTATGGATTAAATCAACGACTAGTAAAGAACCTGTGCTCTCATCGTGGAAACTGATGAAATATTATGCAATACAAAGGTAAAAGCTACGACCAGGAGAGCTGTCAACGTGGAGCTGATAGTCAGCTGCACTTTGGCTGTTTTGACAGAAGAACACATTATCTGCTCTTTTTGTTACTAGAAAGCTTGTCAAAGGCTAATTATTGATTAATCCAGCAATCTGCTTTCTTTGTGTAGGTGTCAAAGAGTAAAAAAACAAAAAGTGCATTTTTATTTCCTGCATCCCAAGCTGACATCTTAAAACATCTTGTTTTGTCCAACCATGAGTCCAAAGATATTTAGTTTACTTTCACATACGACGATAGAAGCGTTAAATCTTCTCGCTTTGCCTGCAAAAATAACTACAGTGATTATTTGATTGTCTAAATAGTTTCCAGTTGTCTGTCAGTGCAGCTGTATTGACATATTAGTTCCAAGTATTACCTGAGATTGTTTAACCTCAGTTACACACTGAATACAATGACGAGATGTCGGCACTCAAATGACAAACTTAAGCAGCAAACTGTGGAGTTCTGCATAGCAAGCAGCATATTTGCTGCTTATTTATCTCCAGAAACCCACCATGAACTGACGTTATCAGAGCGAAACGGTATCCGTATCATTCACACGTCAGCACTGATTAGTTACACTGGACACAAACAGGTGGAATGACAACAACAAAGCGACGCAGACGGATGGAATCCAACCTGCTCAGGTGAACACTGAACATCATTCTGTTTGTTTCCCATAGAAACGTAGAGGCTGCAGTGGTCGCCACGGTGACGGAGCAGGGACCCACTGATGCTGCATCAACACCATCTGAGCATGCTCAGAGCGATGATGCATCTCTCCACCTCCAGAGAAGCGATTGAGTCGTCATGACAACACTCGCCTCTCTCTCTCTCTCTCCCCCCTCCTCCCTCTGTTCTCACCCCTCTGAAACCTCCTTTTAGTGTAAATGTGTGAGATGATGGATGAGCTGTTTACTAATACGGTACTCCTGTTTTTACCCTCCTTGTGTTTCATTTGAGTTCTTCTTCCTCCCTATGTAGAACACCTGTTTCCATTTTTGTTCAGGGTGTTTTAGTTGTGTGTATGTGTGTGTGTGTCTGTGGCCATGTTTCCAGGCCGTGTGAAGTGTGTGTGCTGTGTCCGTTACAGTCGGTCTACCAGAGTCTTCTGAAAGAGCTGTCACATCAAACCAGTCTACGACTTTTTTTCAGCTGCGTAATTTGGCTTCCTGGAGCGAAACTCTGTTGCCAAGCAAATAGAGGCCAAAGTTGACGTCTAAAGACAAATCAGTAGTTTCATAACAGCCTCTAAGTTAGAAGACTCTGGTGTTAATGGGTTCAGAAGCTTCACACTTTTAAAGGCCGCAGCATCAAAATCAGAAACCTCACTGTGAACACTGCAGAATGTCTCAGCTGGTGTCTCCTTTTACGTTTTTGTTCTCTGAATCAAATCATTTGTGCCCCTTTATTGCAGCATTGTTGACAGATGTAGAGAAGCAGCTCCACAGCAGTGGAGATTCTATGCAAAGGTGTTGTGATGCGTGTCACCCGCCTCCCCCACCCTCCTCCCCCAGCCACTTCAGTTACCACTCAGTATGTGTGGCCTCCAGGATGAGCCATATGCACATGAACTCAGAGAGAAAGCTGTGTGTGTTTGTTTGACTGTGATGTTCTTAAGTGTGCGTTGACAAATCTTCTGCTAATCATTCCTTTCTGTGAGCCGTAGTCAGGATGTTAGATTTGTGTTTACCTCCTCTTCTTCTTCTTCTTCTCTGACTATATGAACCTCTGTGTGTGTGCTTGTGTGTGTTCTGTAGATTCATAGCTGTTTTGTTTTTTCCATATTTTCTCATTTGATTGCGAGACCATTGAATAAGTTAACTTCAGCTCTTTGAGTTTGAACTGTGATGTTAATGAGGACACCACGGACGGTGCAGAAGTTCCTCTCCCCCCAAACACCAGCGATAGACGGGTCCCTTTGGGAAGCCCAGCATGCAGATTCAATCAGGATAGAAGCATTTTAACCCTGTGTGAGCCAAATAAGAGCATTTTGTATCCAGACTCTCCTTTTTTTTTTTTTAAAGTCTGGCTCACAGAAGGTTAAACAGATAAGGCGCCATGTTCCTGTGGAGATCTAGATGTTAGTTTTTACCATGCGTAACTTCACTTTGTTAAAGGGAAACTTGGTGACTTTTCTTTATACGTCGCTTTTCTTTTACACAACAGAAAATAATCTCGGTTGTGTGTGCGTCCCACAGTAGCAGGGGCATCATCTTACACACCACCCAACATGTAAAGAAAGCCAAATAAGAGCATTTTCTTTCTTATTTCTGAGGCCAGATCTGCAGGTAAACATCTTTTCTGTGCCTCTGTTTTCAGTGTACGTGACCCTGTATGGGATGAAATCTGAGCATCACGTTAATATGATGAAATACTGACAGTAAAAGATGTGTCGAAGTTGTAGAAGTCATTACAACACACTACATTTAGTGGGATTAGTGGGTTTTGTTGGTGTCACAGTCCCACTTTGTGTCTGTAGTCCTCACATACTGTAACTACCACGTTTGTTAGGGATGAAACACATTCCAGTCGTGTGCAGTAGCTGTTTTTGTAGTAAGTCTCGTCCTATCCCCCCCCCTAATGTAACACTAGCTGGTCTTTTCTACTTAACACTTTGTAAGTCAATGTGAAGTGTAAAACCTTTTTAACATTGAAGATTACAGTCTTTACCAAGAGAGAGCTTCTAGATTTTTAAAAAAAGGAACATTTTTAAAAAGAACTCGGAGAAATGAAAAAAAAAGAACACAACTTTCTGTAAATGCTTTAAAAAGCTTTTTACAAAGCCATAAGCTGTTTGTTGACAGGCAGGTTTGAGGGGGGCTGCGCTACTTCAGGACAAACTTTGATTCTGTAACGAAACAAAAAAAGAAGAGCAATAAAGCAAAAAAGCAGCAGAGAAACCAGGCTGCAGCAACCCCACGAAGCAGACTGTCCAGTTTCTCACGACGAATCTTTGATCAGAAGGTGTGTCCATGCTGTAACGGGTTATGATAGTTCTGCAGCTTTGTTTCCAGGAAAAGCAGACGCTGGTAAAAATACCACATGTAGGGAAGATTAACAATGGGTGGGACAAAATGGAGAAACAAACTGGCCTGGTGTTTGCCTCACGGTGTTGTCTGTCAGTCACAACCTTCAGCCTGCAGGTCTGATTCAGGCCTGCAGACTCTTACTGTGGTGAATAAATTATTGTGAAGTACTGATGGATTGTTTCAAGGAGATTTGAAGTGGCACCATTTTCTGTAAATGATCTGTTCTGGGAGCTGCAATAAAAGGTTTGGGACAACAAAGACTCTGTTTCTGTCAGTTCACTTTGTTCTTGTTGATGATCCGCAAACAGATCAGTTTACAGATCATGATGAGAAGCAGTCAGTCTGATTTTTAAGGTGTAGGATCATGTTGTCATTTTTGTTATTAATGATATTGTGATTACCAATGCTACTAGAATTACTGTTTTGTAATTATGGTTAGTAATCTCGCATACTGTTTAACTTACAATGATAAATGTATTAATGCAACGTTTCGGTGCCAGACCTTCATCAGGCACATAGTTTAAAGTACAGTCATGTTAAATAGAGACTGGCTCTTAACCTACCACCAATGAACAAGCTCCACAGACTGGTATGAAGCACCCAAAGAGACAAGAGAAAAGATTGCATTACATTACATTCTATACAGAGACATGAGAGTCAGCTGTGACGCCAACAGTTGACAATAATAATTCTCCAAGGTTGTTAGAAATAATATAACGTTTTTTTGGTCAGAAAAGAGTAGTGAGTATTAAAAGTGTATCAAGGAACAACAAACAGGCACTAGTGAAAACAACAAAAAGGTCACTTCAGTCTGGAAAGAAGTGACATTTGCAAAGATGACAATTGTAATGATTTTGCTCAACGTCCCTGAGAGCAACAACTATTAATCTTTTGATTAAAAAACAAAAAAAGAACAAATAAAAGCAATAAATAATATAAGAATAACAGCTCGATGCTCCTGACTGTGCAATCTAACTGTTTTTCTACTTGCGGAAAAATCAGTGCCATCGAGATCAAATCTGTGGATTATTATTACTTCTTTATCAGTATTTCTACTCATTAAATAATCAATGCAATACTATTGGTATTTGCAGTATTGTTGTGTCACATCCAGAGGACCTTGTACAATCAGAATATCCTCAGATGGAAAAAAAAACTAGTGCTTATGCATATTAGTTATTTTACTTTTTCTACTGATACATCTCAAATGTTTGCATTGTTTCCTTTGCTGCTGTAACAGTTTCCCTCCTGTCCGGTCTCCTCTGGTTCCTCTCAGACTCGTCTGTCTGGCGTTCTTGTCTTCTGTTTCATTGTTCTACCCATTTTGTGAACAAACCCATGTTGGAAAATGGAGAATTTACATTTTTAGCAACTTCTCTCACAACCGAAACCATCAACTGTTTTGCACTGACGCTATAAACCTCTCCTGCAGCTTGTAAAACCTCTGCTGAGGTTTCAGGAAGAGTGTTTGCCAGAGTGTTTTACCAACACTGACTTGGTACATAAATCTATGAGCTCCAGGAGCAGCTCTGCCAGCAGGGTTTTTGTGTCAAAGTCAGGAGAACCTGCTGCCAACAACCTCCGCTGCTCTGGTTTCACACTGTCCAAATAGGATTTTACAACTGGGCAGAAAGTTTCCACGTTTATCTCAGGTTCTTCCAATTTGTTCATGGCGCCTGTTTGTGTTTCGTGAACTCATTGACTTTCTCACAACTTCAGTTTAAAATAAGTCTAGTTGATCTCCATAATTATGTTTTCTGTATTTATGTTTGAATTAGTTAAACTCAGTAATAAATAATACTTCAAGACCTCAGCCTTGATATGTATTAAAGTCAGAAAAAGTAGTAGTAGTTTTTCATCTTTTATTCCCAAATATGTAAATTAGTCAGATAAATCAACACCATTAATAACAGCATGAGGTTGTATAAATTTTATAGGTTCATTTGAGATGACAGTCATATAGTTCCTCATTTCTTTCTTTCTTTCTTTTTTTAATGAGAAAGCACTTTCGATGTTGCAGAGAAGTATTACAAACCTTTCCATTAGTTTCAACTAAAAAAAATTTTGTTGTTGGTGAAACTAATGGAAAAGCCTCCATGTGACTCAAGTAAGCAGAAAAAAAAAAGTTTGTGCTTGTATATGTATACATTGCTAGAGTTGTGCTAACCTAGTTTAAGTCACTCCCTGTCTGTTTATGTTAGCAATAACAACGCTGTAGTTATGCCAACCTAGCATACCTTTAGCTAACAGCTTAAAAGCCAGTAAGCAACTACAGAAATAACATAAGTGTACAAAATATTAGAGAGTACAGAACGAGCATTCATCACTCCATCAGCTTATTTTTTAACGATATCGATGTTATTTCAAATGCTAAAGCTATGTTTTGATTATCCATGAATCTAATAGTGTAGATAAAATGAATGCAGGACTTTAACATTGACTGGAAATCACAATATGGTGGAAATGAGCTGCTTGGCAGAGGTCTGCACTTTCTAGTCTTTTGAGAGAACTGTTGTACCAAACAGAACCACCAGGTGTCGCCACATCTCAATTTATTAAATAAGAGCTCATCAACAGTCTGAGGGAGGCAGTGCAGCTCTGCATTGTGAACACAAGTCTTTTGCAGACCCAGGCCAGTGAATAATCAACATTTTTACAACCTTGTTAGCATGTCCAAGTGATTTTTTGAATGATGATGTGTCGGAAGGCAAGGAGTCAACAGCATGACTGAGCGTTTCCACCTTGAAAATGCAGCGTGTCAGTTAAAGTCTCAAAACCCTGGATTCAGACTGAAGTCAGGGACTTCATAGATCTGCACATATTGAAGGAAGCGAAAAAGTGAAGTGATATCTAAATACATTTTGACGCAGAAAGGGATTAAAAAAAAAAAAAAACATTTACATTTATGTGTAGTTTTGCTTCAGAGACATGAATTTTTAATGGTTTTGCCACTTACCAGAGAGTTTCAGTAAATTTCTTTGCGTATGTATGTCTGTACATACCAAGAAAACTTGATATTATTAAATTGTTTGTATTCTATACCAAATAAAACATTCTATCGTAAAAAAAAAAAAAAAAGTTTATCCTACAATGTGGGATCCCTAACTTGTATAAGGCCACACAATGGCTCAGCTGTGATTTCCTGCACATTATATACATCATATAGACATGTTAAAAAGGAAGAAACAAAAAAAAACTTCATTTTCAACAGAGTGAGTCTTTAGCAGGAATCTGCAATTTTATTTTCTTATTCTTAAAAACAAGAAAAAAAAATTCTGCTTAGAGTTGAATGTGGTCAAATCGTCCTCATCAATTATGTACAATAGAATACGAAGAGGACGTAAATTGTCTTAAATAATAATAAATGAAACGATACATAAATTAAACATTGCAAATAAATAAATAAATAAAATGATTAAATAAAAAAAAAAGAAAAAATTCAGTCAGCTCCTATCGGGAAAAGTTAACAATCTGATTAGGCTGCAGATACTATAGACTTCCTGTTAGCACCCGGAAGTTCAGCGGCTAACTCCAACGATTGGACGATCTCTTATCTGACGTACCCGAACAACCAATCCCATAACATGACCTCAACACATCCACCAATCACAGCAGAGCGTCCCTCCCACTTCATCCCAGCAAGTAATGCCGGATCAGTGCGAACAGTAGCGGGCCACACAAACAGTTAGAAGAAGCGGTGGATAGACGACGGAGAGTCTCCAGTTCGAAACAGAGAGACTCTCAAGAGCTTGGACTTCATCTCAGCTGTCCAATTTCAGGTAAAACATACCGGAAGGCGAATAAAATCAGAGAACATAGAAAGAAGTCGGCAACTTCTGCTAAGCTAGTTTGTTTGGTACGAAGTTAGCAACTGGCAGAGTCTCAGTTTGTAGCTATGCGAGATAAGATGATCCTTAAATAATCCCACAGTGGGGAAATGTGCAAAAACAAACCACAATATACGTAGATGGTGCTTTACTTTACCAGCTTGTATGACTATGATGCACAGATTGTTTGCTTTTTTTGCCAGCACTCTTACCTGACTTTGGTTGCAGCAGCTGTTTTTGTTTTGTTTGTTTGTTTGCCTCTGTTATAGTTTTAAACTCCTCATGTTGGTTCAGGATCATAGTTTGTTGTTGTTGTGAGGAACACGCGGCTCTTGTCCATGTTTGTGATTGATCGTGGGTTTCCAGCTCCACCTCTGTCATGTGAATGCTCTGATCTATGAGAAACCCAGACTGACTGAACAAGTTGATGAACAGCTTTGTGTGAGGAGTTCATTCAGTTGTTGGTTTCGTGGACCAGCTATGAAATGATGTCCTGGGTGTGTTGAACTTGCTTTGTACAGATGTGAGCTCTAGATCAAAACCTAAACTTCTCACATCTGGACTCTGTTACCTAAAAGATTCTATAGATATACATCAGCTGAACAACAACATGTCCACTTGTGGCTGAAATTCATTGCAGATTTCTCATTACATGTCCTCTCCGTGACCTTTTTTTTCTTGCTGCTGTGTGGATCTACTCTTCACTTCCTCCTGTTGCTTTGTTGTGCTTCATGTGAGCAAAGACACATGCCTGCATTCTTTCAGACACAGTTTAATGGATGCTGCATGTCTGACACAGAGCTAACCCTCCCCCAGCCATCAGCACAGATGCTTCCTGTCGTAGAGATGGATGCGATCCAGCTGTGCCTTTGATCAGCAGAATCTCATTCCACATGTCAGGTCGTCTGCTGTCTGGACTTTAACAATGAAAACCCTCCAGAGGAGCAGGGAGGTGTGGATAGCCGGCACTACTGTCGAGATGTGCGAACACATAAGTGTGTATCAGAGGCAGTTAAAGTTACAGCCCTGCTTCTTTTCTCTTATGGAATCTTAAGGATTAAAGGCGTTTAGAGACTTCTTCCACTCACCACCACTCTCACTGTTTGGTTTATTTACCTGTTGCATACCTTCTCTGCAAAGCTCCAGTTCAGCTTTCAGTCATTCTTGTATTTATTGTGTAGTCAGTGTATCGGAGTGTCATTCTTGTACTTCAGAGTTGTTGCTATTTTGCTATTTTTCTCGTCTGTTTGGAGGACTCTGTTCCATAGCTGCAGTCTAGAATTATACAACTGGATAAAAAAAAACTGCGGTATTTCTGATTAATAATTCAAATTTGTCCCCAAAATTACATGTGGAATATGTCACTTTCATGTGTAGTGTTACTTCTCTCAGTATAATTAACAGCATTACGCTTTGCTTTCCTTTTCCAGCCTTATTTTGACTGACTTGTTTTAGTCTATGATGGTATCATGCTTATATCTTTTTGCTTTTTTACTTTTTAGGCCCTGAAGTAATAATTTAATAAAGCTTTGTCTTTAGTTAAGCCAGTTTCTCTACAAAAGATTATCTGTTAGTGGGGAAGGGGCTAAAAATATCCCTTTAACTCCAGACTGGGTGAAAATCTCCGAGTAGGGCGGGTTACATGGAAATCACCTCCCACATGTTATAAATGCTGGCATTGTTTGTCTAATCACATGTTTCTTCTGCAGCAGGGAGGACAAGAAGTCCCTGGTTTAGGATTCAGCTGTCTCCAAGCTGGTTGTGAGCGACTGAGGACAAACGATGACTTCTTCACAAAAGGTGAGACAAACACTGTTACACCCAGTTCAACAAAAACCCATTTTGGAGCATATATTTGTATGATATGTGTTGTTTTTTGTTCATTTCTAAGTGTATATGTAAAATGATTGAATCAATTAGTCACTAAAGTGTCTGACAAAGTGTAAAAAAAAACGTCTGTAATTAGTTCTTTGTCAAAGCTGATTTCAACCCAGACATTCAAAAGAGCGCATGTGACAGTTTCACAATGTGCAGCTGGTGGAAGACTCCACAGCAGAATAACACAGGCTTTATTACACACAACAAACCCTTTGTCAGCACCAGGAATCCAAAGGCGAGATTGGAATTTGGTAAAAAAAAAGATGCAACCAGAAAGCTTTCTGGAGCAAAGTTTTCTCAACATATGAATCTAAACCAGCTTTTAATAATGTCACAGAGAGCCAAAAGTGTGGAGGAAGACATAAAGCAGTCCATGATCCAAACTATTCCATCTCCTCTGTGAAACATGGAGGAATAATGACTCTGCAGTGAAGTGTAGGTGCAGCATACGAGGGGTGTAATGGTGCTCGAAATTCACATTTAGGTACGTTTGTGGTGCTGCAGAGAAAACATCTATTTTCAAGACATGAAAATATTCAAAAGTGTCCAATTGGCCATATTTCTTACTGCAGCTGTTCAGGCACTCAGATGCTGCATACTGGGAATAACAAAAGACTAAGCTGTGTACTAATAAGTGTAAAATAAATAAAAACCATAAAGACAAGTGATACATATTCATAATGAATTTAAATGAGCCAATAAACTAAGCAGTGCAGTTTCAGCTGAAAAAATGCACAAAGTATTGCTGCCTTTCTGTTTTGATCAACACTGATGTAGGATATGAACAGACACAGCTGCACAAAAGACACAGAACTTTCCTGTAGGTCACAGGGTCATGTAAATCAGCTCTGCAGACCTGGGGGAGCCGAAGCCAGAGGAAGCATAGCTCACTTAGGAATTCCCTTATCACATCTATCATACCTTCAGAGGATCTAACACAAGGAAGCTTTTGGGGGAAGACAAAGAAAAACATTCAACTACGCAGACCTTAACAGATGGCCGGGTGCAATGAAGTGCCCCAGGCTTAACGTATTGCTCTGCTGACCCCTCATTTCCTGTGGTATGCAAAAACTGAACTTAACAACTGAACTTATGTGAAGATACAGAACCAGAGGATCTTAATGGGACGCCAATATCTGATATTAGTTTAAGTGTTGTTAAATGTTTTGGTATATCATATTCTGATAAATACCCCAAAGCTTAATTACAGTTGGAAATGAAATGAAATGAAAATACTTTATTTATCCCAGAAGGGAAATTCAATCTTGTAAAAGCTCACTTTTTAAAAAAAAATTTCTTTCTTTCTTTATTTTAATCAATATAACATATATTATATACAACAACAACAACAACAATCATTCAGTCAGTCAATTGTCAGTCAGTCAGATTTGTTTTTTAAGGTGATGGCTGTTGGCAGGAAGGAATTCCTGTATCTCTACGTTAAGGTTAAGTCCTTCTTTAATTTATCAGCTTGTCATATAACCACATCCTGAGCATTGTGTTATTTCTGTAACCGTCCGAGACACATTTATCATGTTTAGACTCCCCCGGAAGCTCTACATGTGACACATTCATTTCCAACAAGCTTAGCTTTGTATCAGTACAAATACATGTAGTTCTAAAGTAACATTGTTACTTTCAGAGCAAAACTCTGACCACCTCATGACCACTTCATAACCCCCCCGTGATACAAGGGTGTCATATCTATCAGCCCCTCTGGGAGGGCAGCTCGCTGTGATTGGTCAGTAGTTTTACTATTAAAAGGCATTTCACCTAAAAGACTGCGGATTTTCTGAAGGCCATAGAATCTCCCACTTTGGTCCAATGTTAGCAACTCCAACTGCCACACCCTGATCCAACTCAAGCTGAAGGCCTCGTCTCCCAGACGCTGTTGCACCCGCCGAGGAACCTGCAAGTATCAAGCTTCTGTCTCTAAACGGGTGTTTTATGATTACAATTGGCCTTTCAACCAATATTCCAAATTTAACAGATTATCTGCTGCTTCAGGTGAAAAGACTTTTAAGTCTCCAAGCCACCACTCTGTTCCACATTCGGTTTTCCACACTCATACTCTCAACCAGCATTTTCATCATTGTTTGTATTTTTATATTTTATGTTTGTTGTTTGTTTGTTTTAGTCAGTAATAAATGTTGTGTGTGTGTATACAGTTGTTTCCTGTGTTTTCTATAGCTTATATTCACTCACTTTCCGATCTTTAGTTACCTAAGCTCTAAGTTAATTCCCTTAACTTTATAAAACACTCTTGATTGATCACCAGGAGTAAACAGTTTATTAGAATTATTGTGCTGACTCTGAGATTATATCGCTGGACGCATAATTCAAAGGTTGGTTTGAATAATTGTAATTAATGCAATCACTTGCTTTGGTGTGGAAATAAGTATATCTTATTTTCTACCCTACACTGAGAACAAAAAAACTTTATTGGAATTGTCAGAGGACAAAGCAGCCAGGGGGACTGGTATCTGGTCGATTAACCTGTGCAGTCAGGGGTTTTTTCCTGGCTTTGACTTGGCCTTTATGCCACAACAGTAAGGATGATGGTGAGCAATAAATTCATCATGTAAAGATTTGCATCATGTCTTAGTTCTGGGGATAAGGAATGCATGTAATGTAATAAGATAATGTTAAACTTTACAAATCCAAAAGAGAACTCGCTTGCTGGACGTTGCTGTTAAAACAAATTGTGTAACTTGAGAAATGCAGCGTCGTGTAGAAAAGCAATAATAATGCCACTGAATTTGTGTTTTTTAACAACAGATTTCAATTTAGAAAATGATGATAGACCTCGTGTGTCTCCTGTTTTGTTGCTATAGAAACAGAAGTGCAGCAGCAAACCCAGGCCTCATGGCTGTCAGCAGTGCGACAAATCCTTTACGTCGTCCCAGCTGCTGAGGTATCACGAGAAGCTCCACAGTGGAGAAGGCCTTAACTCCTGTGAGGACTGCGGGAGACAGTTCATTCACCTACAAACCCTCAGAGCCCATCAGCGCATCCACACTGGAGAGAAACCCTTCCAGTGCGACCAGTGTGACAAAGCTTTCAGCATGCAACATAACCTAATAATCCACAAGCGGATCCACAGTGGGGAGCGACCCTATCAGTGCCAACACTGCGACAAAGGCTTCAAGTCGCCGTCCAACTTCAACAAACACCAGCGGATCCACAGTGGAGACAAACCGTACAGCTGCGAACACTGCGAGAGAAGCTTCAGCGACCCGTCGGCTTACCGCGAACACAAGTACATCCACACCAAAGAGAGGCTTTACCCCTGCAACCAGTGTAAAGCCACGTTCAGCTCTGCTGCTTCTTTAAGGCAACACCTGCGTCTGCACAACAGCAGCAAACCCTTTAAGTGCCAATACTGCGAGAAAAGCTTTATTTCCACAGCTAAACGCTCGTTACATGAGTATGTCCACACAGGAGAGAAACCGTACAGCTGTGAGCACTGTGGGAAGAAATTCAGTGATCCGTCCACATGCAGGAGACACAGAAACAGCCACTCAGCTGCCAAACAGTCTGTTTCAGCAGTGTAAGGAACCATCCATGTAGCTTCACATAACGGTGTGTCTGACCACTTTTTTAGATGCAGGAAGAAGAGAAGTACAGTGCTGCCCACTTATTGTCATACCGCTTTATAGATGATCCCGTTTCTAATAAAATATCAAAGTCCTGAATCATTTCCTACATAACCTATAGTAAAACAGCATGTTTATTGTCATAGAATAATGTCATAATCCTGGTTTTTATCATAAATTCCCCGAAATTGATTCCAGGAATAACTTTTGCTCGTTTAATATCGTGGTCGGCCAATCGTTACGGCTCACGGGCCAGGCGTCCTGCATGCGTGGCAGATTATCACACCCCGGTCAGAAGGCAATGTGTTTGTTTGTCTACGACCTGCTCACCTGTGATCTGCTTCACTGAGGTATACACACACCGTCTGACATTAATTAGGGCACATCAAAGAGAATGGCGTTGTTGCAGAGCATGTCGTCACTCATAGCTGAACTGCTCAGCTAGTTAATCATGATGAGTTAATCCTCTGTGTGATTAAAGGACATAACTTATTGATGGGGTGGCTGTTCGTACCGTCAAAGCTGAAATTTCACTGAAGCCAAATCATAAAGCTCCATTTGAATAATGGAATCAGTTATTTCCCGAATACATGGTAGATATGTCGATATAGGCCATGCAGATGGTGCTGGTCCGGTATATAGGCTCACACACAAACTCGCTGCCATCTTGAAGCCCGCTTATTGGAATATCCCAGATATTGTAGTCATTTCATCCTGGACCGAGAGGATGATAATAAATGGGCACCACTGTCCTACTTTCTGTTGGGGGAAAATGAAGTGAAGACCCCCAGAGGTTCCCTTTGGGACGGACACTCCATTCCGTTAAACCTGACAGCAGTTGAATGTGTTGGTTTCATGTCTGAATGAGCATTTTAGTCACTTTACCATGAAAGTCTTGCCGGCAATCTCACTACGTTGGATCTAACAACACTATGTCCAGTTGTGTGAAAGCATAGGAGACTTTTGCCACGTTTCAGTGGCATTATTTGTCCGAAAACACCACAGCGAGAGTCTTTCCTGTGAGTTCATTAAGTATCTGCAGCGTCACACAGCAGCTGGATCCACATCCATCCATCCATTATCTATACACCGCTTAATCCTCACTAGGGTCGCGGGGGGTCTGGAGTCTATCAGCTGGATCCACATGTCGTCTCCAAATCAAGAGAGTGGGACGTACGGAGCAACAGCAGTGCCTTAATTAATTATTTATTATTCCTGACATGCAGACAGATCGATCAGGACCCAACAGCAAGCCATGCTGTTCTTTTAATGTTGGCAAAGTAGTAGTTCGATGTTGAGGAAATCAGAAATAAACTGAAAACAATTACTCAGAAATGTGCCACAGTTTGATCAGTGATCATGAAAACAAAGTGGAAAACTGCCTTGTGATTATTTTAACGTCTTAATGACTGACCTGTCTTGTCCAACGCTGCTCGATACCTGATCCTGGGATAAAGTTAGAACTACCATTGATAGCTGTTGATGCTAATGAAACGGTGGGAAGTCTTTCTCATGTATTAGTGTTGGTATCTGGTGAATGACTGTTTTTAATAGAAGCTGTATCTCCTGTTGCTTGTGTTGATGCTTTCTGCTTCCACTTTGCAGACACAGTGGATGAGCCAACTGCTGTTCTCTTGTCTGCTGCTTTCATAGTGACAAAAGCAGAGATACCATCCACAGATTGTCCACAAAGGAAAATATGTATTTTTGTTGTTGTTGTTTTTCCCGCTTACAGCCGACAGTCAGAACGAGCCTGTCTGTAGAAGATGTTTTACCTGCATAGACTGAAGGAACAAACACGTCCGACTTGGCAGAGCCTCTCACAGACAAACCTGCCAGCTCGCTCAGAGGATTCAAAGAGCGGCAGGTTAGTGAATGTGATAGAAACGTAGCGGCATCATGCCCTCGAATGTGCGTCAAATGAGTGATTCAGTTTGTGACGAGCAAACTTCATCACCATCAGAGTCTGACGAGGCAGTTACGGCCAGAGATGACTGTCTAGTTTCACTTTATCTCCGTTGACTTACTGCTGTAGCAAACGTCACTATATACAAATAGAGTGTCACAGTACTGCAGGCTGATGAAAGTCAGGTGTTTACGGGTTTGCAGATCAGCAACACGAGTTATTAGTGATGAACAGAGGGGTGATTAAAATGTGCATCAAAGCTCTCCCAACACTTATCTCTGCAAGAATTTGACCTTTTGCAAGCAGCAGTGTGATGTGAGGGTAAAGAGCTGATCTGAGTGAAGAGCTCCTCCTTTTCTGTTTGAATATAAAAATGTATGAAGACACTCTGGGACAATAACTCCTTCCTGTTTTATGGCTTCTTTTCACTGCCTGACGATCACTTTCTTTGACATTGTTGAAATATTATCATTTTTGTAATTAAAAAAACAAAAAGTTCCATGTTGTCTCATTTATTATTCAATGACTTTTCCTGACATTTCATATTTCTGCTGTGGTATCATTTCAGTGTCATGTCATAGAAAACGCTTGTGTTCAAGTGACTGTAGTTTTTCCTGATGGCTGTCGAACACCGTAGAACCATGTCCAGCTGTGGCATCACGGCTGTGTTTGTTTCTACCTGCTGTCGGTCATGTGAGCTCCTCTCTGGGACTCTGATGTTGGTGATGCAGTAAAAAGATTATTTAGTGGTTGTTGGTTGTTTTAAAGATTGTTTGCTTCACTTGTGTGTGTCGTGCCTGAGTTGCGTTTGTTTGTGATCGTCTCCTTTCCACCGCATGTGTCGCTTTGTGTTTGGCTGAGGTTTGCAACGGATACGTTTGTCTGCTTTTGGGTGATATGGATGCTTTTTTATGTGAATGTAAATATATATGTCAAGGCCAAGATCAGAATCCGGCCTGATTCCGGATTGGGCCGGCCCAGGTTGGAATTCTGTTCTAGGCCGGCCTGGAATGGAATCATTTATTTCTTACGGTTTCTAATCTGGGCTGGCTCAGAACAGAATTTTGATCCTGTCCAGCCCAGATTGGAATTCTGATCTTGGCCGACTCAGATTGGAATTTGATTTGCTGGCCCAGATCTAAGTCAAATTCCAGTCTTGGCTGGACAGGATCAGAATTCAGAAAAAAAAAAAGATGATTCCATTCCAGGCCGGCCTAGAATAGAATTCTCATCAGATCAGAATTTCCATCCAAGCCGATCTGGAATTGGGCCGGATTCTAATACATACGTATAATTAGAGGGTGAGTTCTAAAGCTTACACTCTTCTTATTACTTCATGCATATACTACAATTTGCGCTTGAATTTTTCTGCAGCTCTTGGTTTTTAAAGCTTTTTTAATGCTCAAGCAAGACACTGGTGCCACTGTGCAGAGGATTGTGGGTAGGGATGGCCAAAAAGGCATGTTGGCTTGCAAACTGCACAATCCGATGGATGTAGTCGGACATCCTGGTATTTCCGGCATACTGCATCTCAAATACTATGTATTGGGACCATAGTAAGTCTTCTGTTGGCATTCTTTGTGGTTTGTAAGTATGGATACTGGAATGTACCTATAATCTTCTAAACACAGTACATAGTGCCAAATGCAGTTTGCCAAAAACACCAGTGTCCTGCTACATCCGTTAGCATACAGGATGCTTTTCTTGCTGTTCTGATTCAGAATCCTCTACACAGCAAAAGCTAAGTGACATACATCCTGGTGTCTCGTTCAAGTAACAAGCTTGAGCTGCTGAAAGTCAGAGACCGATGATTTCACACTGCAGAGTGCAAGACAGTCAAAGTCTAAGGTGCAATATTAGGACAAAGTAGTAGGAAGCTGTAAGCATAAATGGTCTGAATGGAAAAAGGAAAAAGTATGAGATCTGAAATACAGGAAAAGCATCATTCACCATCTTAGTTTGGTAAGCTATGCTATGCTAACACTTACTAATTAATGCTTAACACTAAACAACCAGCTGGGGCTCATGGGGATGTCTTTGCAGGTATCTGGTGATTACATTTCATCCTGAAGGGGACGTGACGCTGTTTTCAAAATTTTCCCATTTTACATGAGCTTCTCCACCTCAGCCAGGTGATTTTTGTTTTAATTTGGATTTTTTATTTTTAAGAGTATCAGTTTTATGCACAAATTGAATACACAGATAGAAACAGGTGGATAGAAATGCATTTAAAGTCAGAAAAGGCTCCTTCAGCTTGACAGCTGAGTGACGGAGCTGTAAAATAGACAATAACACGATCAGTGACACTGAAATCAGAAGCTCTGAGACTGAGAGCAGAAATAAGAGCAGCAGCGTGTCTGAAGAAGATGAAGGCCGACAGCCGCACACAAACAGAGCCGAGCTCAGCGTGACTCATACTCTGAGAAAACACTGAGCTGTGATACTGACGGCAGCCGAGTCGCTCGCCGGGTCACGGCGTCTGCCTGCATCTGCACGAGTCTCTGTTGGTCGGCTTCAAGCCACGTCAGCAGAAACGCAGCAGCATGATAAACTGTCACTGTCCGTTAAACCAGGATCCATGAACCTAAATGTTGTGTTCAATTTGCCTTCATGTGTTTTTAGTAGTGATGCACGATATTAAAATTTCTGTCCGATGCCGATATCTGATATGAAGATTTCAGATATCGCCGATAACTGATATTAACGATGCCGATATTCAATTTTTGTTCACAACAAAAAATGATTAAAGTGAGCACTGTGAGAACGGGAAAACTATTCAAAAGAAGCCCAAACCACATTAGACCACATAGTCTTCTTTATTATGTAACAAAGGTAAAACATGTTTAAACATATTTAATGTTCAAGTCCATTTAAGTAAAAGCATCTGTGAAATAGCAGCAATATCAAATATAGAGACGACGGCACTGATGTTAGACAATCATCACTTTTTCAAATCGGCTAAATTTGTTAATCAGACCGATATCGATATATGGGAAAAAACACTAATATTGGCCGATACCGATGTGATCGCCCACCTATCGTGCATCCCTAGTTTTTAGTTGCACTGTGGTGGGTTTTGTCCCAGTTTATCCAACAAACAGAAGGTTTTCAGGACTTTTCTCTTTTTTGGTGTGTGTAAAAATTCTGGTTTATTTTATCAGCGATAGAAAATAAAGGTCTATGCACTGTTTTATGCATTGTGAAATCAGACGCTCTTGTTGTATGTGTGTGTTCACAAAGGAATAGTTTACCAGCTTAACGAGTTTTAGTTGCCATGTGCTTAGCCTCAGAGTCTGAAGTAAATGATTACATTATTATTGATCTTTATGTTCAAAGCAATGCCCAGCTGGGAGACCTTGGGTCTTGACATTCATGTGGATGTGACTTTGACACTAGTCTGACTTTCCAGATCATTCTGTAGAACATGATGTTCTGGCTGCACCTTGGTATCATTCTGCTATATGAGAAAAAAAACAGCTCTGACTTGTTTGGATTTCTTCAAATCAATCACAGTCATCACAGGCAAGGATGTGATTTCCATGTTTCCTGCAAATAGCTATAGATGGAACTGTTTTGGTGGAATATTTGCTTACAGGGAGGCGAGAACTGTGATTATAATGGATTATTCACCCAAAAAAAACATATTAGCAGCATTTCCAAAACCTCTTTTCAGTGTTAGTGGTGGGTTGCTGCTTGGAGGTTGTTGTTGTTTCTTGTAGTACAGTGAATTTTGAACACTGTTTGGTATATTTGTATGTTATTGGAAATCTTTTGCATGTCTAAAATGTGCAATATTTACATAACATGCAGATGGTAGAAACAGAGGATAAAACCGTCTGACGTGAGTGACCAGTGGTGGGGTTTTACCTGCAGCCGTTATCTGGTGAGTCAGAACACCTGGACACGTATCACCCACCTAAACGTAACTGTAGATAAAAAACACGGCTCAGAAATGGCTTGAAAACATGACAAAAAAACGCAAAGTGCAGTTTTCAAAGTCCCAGATCTGAGTCTGATCGCAGGATGCAGTGGAACAAACCCGGTCCATAGAGGCTCCACCGCACAGGATCCACTGCCAACATCCCAGAGGAGGGCAGACCAATTAGTCCATTCCAAATAAATGTGAAATGATGCAATTAGCTAAGTGCAAAAGACTGCAATTTAGAAAATATGTTATGACCCAGAGTTTAAACTGTCTTGTCAGTGGTTTTATGAATTCATGCAGTCGAGCTGTTGATGATACCTAAAGCAGGAATGTTCCATCACTTGTTTTAAATCTATGAACATGGTGAATGTTGAGCGAAAGCTTTATTTAAAAAGTCATTTTGATTAAATCTCAATATCTGTCAGAAAAATCACAATTGAATATTTTACCTGAACAAGTCGTGTCCATTCCCCAACGAGCCGGAGCTGTTTTTGCAGCACCTACACAATACAAGGCAGGTGGTTTTAATGTTGTGGCTCATCGTGTTTCTATGTTCAACTCAGAATTGTGTGAAAACTTTGGTTCAGTCTTGCACATAAAGTCTGAAGTATTTCTGAGTTGACAGTTGTGTGTTTTTGTCCTTTCGGCAGCAGCAGAGGCTGTTCTGTACAGAACAGGTGGGAATAAACACTAGAATCTGCCTCCTGAGTTCAGAAGGAGGAAGACCAACTTCACAGATGTGGACTGGATGGTGAAAGAAATCTTGAAACAAGATGCCGTCCTCAAAAGGCTAAAAACACTTTTAGATATGAAGGTGACATAACCACCTCGTTAAAGATGACATCACTCAACAAACAAGCATCGTGTGTGAAAGCTTCACTTCATCACGTGAGACGAGGCCTCATTATGTCACATCCACTCATGTCAAGAGGTTTGGTGCTGATTTTAATTTGTGATGAGCTTTTTAGTTTGACGTGCGTTTAAAAACAGATGAGTAATCAGTTTTCATAAGAAAAGCTACAACGAATGAAAAAAATCAGTGACAGATTTTCTTTTAAGATTCCAGCAATAACTGAAGTGCGCCACTATTTTTATGTGTTTTTATAGTGACACACTTGTAATTTACTATAACACTTAATTAATGTGTGTATCTGCAGTGGAACATTAGATCATGAGTTAATGTTATAATTAACATTTAACTTTAACTGTAGTTACCTTTAAATTACAGCATTTTCCTCTTTTAAAATGTTTGAATTTCAGACATACACCATAAATAACAATGTGCCTTCATGTTTATCATCTGGAATTGAAATCTAAAATAAGATAAGAGAGGAATGTGTAAACATGTGGGGAAGGATCAGTAGAAAAACAAAACTAAACAAGAACTATACATAAGAACTGCTGATATTGTGCAGATTCTTGTACATGTAGAAGACATTTGATATCGTTTTGTTTTAGATTCTTTTAACCATTTAAATAAAAATGCCAATAAAAGTAAAAAATTGCAAATATTAAAGGTAAGGAATGAAGCAAGTTGCATTTTTATGGATGTGGAACATTTATTTAAAGGCAGCAA